ACCTCGCAAAGCTAATCCCTAGACTGGCCAGGAGGAGGTGCCATCCTAGTAGTGAGTACAGCATCCCATCACATACCTACATGGGGAACTACTATTTAATAATGGGCTGCTCAGTCTAGCACCATCCAATGGCTGGAAGCTGAAGCTAGACAAATTCAGACTGGAAATAGGACAGAGTTTAACAATGAGAGTAATTAACCATTGCAACAATTTATCAAGGGTCATGGTGTATTCTCCATCATTTTCTATAAGATCTGCTCTAGGAATTATGTGGGGGGAGTTCTGTGACCTCTGTTATATGGGAGGTCAGACTAGATGATTACAATGGTCCCTTCTGGTCTTAGAATTTGTTTCTTGGGAAACTTTTAGATTTTAAAAAAAATACAAAGCCGGATAGAGCCAGGCATAAGTGGTGCATGAGTCTTCCGTTTGGGGAGGCTCACAATCAAGTGCCGGAAGCTCCTAGAATCGGTGGGGCCACAGATGCATGGACCGTGGCCCTGTTCCCAAGGCACTTCCCCCTGAGAGCCCCCCTCCCCGGCCGCTCACTCATCTCTGCCCCTTCCCCTGAGGCCCATCGGCCGCTCGCTCCTCTCCATCCCCTCCCTGGAACGAGGGGGTCAGGGGACCATGAGGCCATGACACCATCACTTAGGCAAGTGCCAGGGGATGAGAGAGGTGAAGAGCAGCGAGCAGCAGGTGTGGGGGCCAAAGAGGAAGAGCCTGAGCCGGGGGCGGGGGGGGGGGGTGGAGCACAGGCAGGGACACTGTGCAGGCACTGGTGGGTTTCCCGACGTTTATGGAGCTTCACTTCTGGTGCTCCAACTGTGGCGGTGGGCCAGCGCGCCTCTGGAGGGGTGACCTGTGCTGCATCCACAGCATTTCCGTTCACATGACCAGCCTTTTTTGGGCAGGGGCGCTGGAACAATTTATGTAGTGGGGGCGCTGAGAGCTATTGAATCAGACTGTAAACCCTGTATATGATGGAAACCACTTCAAGCCAGGGGGTGCAGACGCACCTTCAGCACTCCTAGTTCCAGCACCTCTGTTTTGGGGGGTAGCTTAGCCTCCCTGGCCTCTTATACGTGCTGTGCATAGTGCCAGCCCCTTACACAGATGTATAGGGGTGGGGGATGGGGACAGGGCTCTTCATCATCCTTTGCTGGCCTGCATAAAACCAAGCAATCCCTGCTCTCAAGGAGGCATAGCTCCTCCCCTACTCTTTGACACCACCCACATTTGAGCACAGGCCAGCAAAGTGGGACCAGCCCACAAGGAGAAGCAGGCTATACCCCAGTAAAGCGTGATGGTAGCAGGCATGCTCCCAGTGGGCGTCCTGTGAGCTCATGGTGGCAGAATGGCTTCTATTGCTCCAAATGGGCAGGGCATGGCAGCTCTGTGTTGCCCAGAGTGCAGTCACAACTGGGGCCACAGTGAACTTACTGCTTATGACAGATTGATAACTCTGTGTGATGGGGTGGTCGCCTCACACTAGCCTAGAGGAAGTTAACAAGGCTGAGAAGGGGCCAGTTAACCAGATAGAGGAGTTAGGTGGCCTGAGTAGCCCCTGGTTGATGATGGAGCCCAGATGACAAGGAACAAGCAGGGCTAGTATAAAGCCAGGAAGTAGGCAGCAGAAGGGGGCTGCAGCAAGGGAGCCTGCAGCCACCCTCTGAATGTTAGAGAATATAGATGCACAGTGGTAAAGTAGAAACCCTGGGGATCCAGGCCCTGAAGACTTTACCCAAAAGGAGGTGGAGCAGAAGCTTGAGAGGGGATGTAGGAAAAGTCTCCAGGGGAAGTAGTCTACAGTCAATCCCTGGGAGAAGGGAGGTGTCTTTGGACTACAAAGTTAAGTAGCCTGCAGTTACTCTCTAGGAGGAGGGAGTATGAGCTAGTATTTCCCCCCAGAGAGGGGGAAGCCAGAAGGAATCCAGGGAAATAGCAGACAGCGTCTGGGAGCAAGCAGACCATAGGTGCTAGACATAGGTCACCTGGACTGGAACCCAGAGTACTTGGTAGGCCCAGGCTCCCCTACCAGCCACTGGGCAAATGGCAGAGACTGGGCAGTGGAGCAGAAGACTGCTGGGGACAGTTGTCCAATGTGACTTAACTACTCTGGAAGGAGAGGACTATAGTGACCTAGCCAGAGGGCCAAACCATGAAGAGCAAGTCACAAAATAGGACTGTGTTGTGTCCCAGAAAGAGAGAGAGCAAGAGGGGCAGTGGTGACAGTGAGTGAGTGACAGAAAGGGGTTTTGGACCTAGAGCAGCCAGGGGGAGACGACGTAGCAGTGAGAAAACCCTGTGACACTCTGGAAACTGAAATCGTGTATCGTCAAAACAAGTACAGTGGGTGATGTGGCAGTGCAAACTCCCCCATGCTGCCCAGCCAATGTGTATCTATCCTGACCTGAATGGCCAGCTCTAGGAGCAAGAAAAAGCAATCCTTTCTCAACTTCTTGTTGGCTTTTTACTGAGACTGCAGTGTTGCCAATCCCAAGTGATCAAAAATCATTAGCTCCCTCCCCCCAAAGTCATGATTGACTTAATAAATCACCAGGTTTAAAAAATAAGTTTTGCATGCTTATTATTTGCCTTCTAGGATTTGAGGTTTTAGGGGTCACATTTTCAAGCTTGTTTCTGCAAGTATGAGATCAGGAAGCTTACTTTATTTTTTAAATGGAAACTGAGACCACATGATCCCAGCAGCTTGGGTTTTAAGAAAAACATCAAGTATTGTGAGATTCGTAATACAGTTACCCGAGCTGGCAACTCTAAGATGCCAACTGTGAAATGGACGAGTCATATGGATGGCAAAGACTTTCAAGTAACACCGACTTAGAAGTGAAAATGAAACAAACCGGGGGGGGGGGGGGAATGGGGGACATACAAATTTAGTGCCTGATCCAAAGTCCATTAAAGTCAATGGAAAGACTCATTGTCAAAGGGAGTTTAGGTCAGACCATTAGTGAACGTGGGTAACAGATAGTATAGGCCTACAGCTGTTGTCCTTTCATACACTGCTCTCATTGCCTTCAGTGGGAGTTACACTGTATTACATTTCATAGGTTTAAACTACACTGCATTTACTTTATAAATAATAGATTCAGACTTTAAGGCCAGAAGGGCCTATCGTGATTATTTAGTCTACATATCACAAGCTACAAGAACCTCACCCATTAATTCCTCTCTGGCTGAGTTTTCAAAATCTGCAAATCTTGGATTTAAAGATTTCAAGTTACAGAGAAGCCACCATTTACTCTAGTTCAAACCAGCAAGTGACCCATGCCCCATGCTGCAGAGGAAAGTGAAAAAACCGCAGGGTCTCTGCCACTCTGATCTGGGGGAAAATTCCTTCCTGACCCCAAATATAGTGATCGGGTAGGCCATGAGCATATCAGCAAAACCCACCTGCCAGACACTTGGGAAAGAATTCTCTGTAGTAACTCAGAGCCTTCCCATTTAGTGTCCCATGTGAAGCCATTGGAGATATTTGCTTTCGGCTTTTTCACAGCCACATCACGTTGGCGGATCATACTCATTCTGAGTTCGACCAATACACCCAGGTTTTTCTCTTCCTCTTTCGCTTCCAACTGGTAAGTGCCCGTTTATAGCAAAAACTCTTGTTGTTAGTCTCTAAGTGTGTGACTTTGCACTATTACATTTCATCCCATTTCTATTATTTCAGTTTTTAAGGTCATCCAGATCTTCTTGTATGATACTCAGATCCTCCTCCATATTTGTCCTTGAGGAACTTCACTGATAACCTCCTCCAGCCTGACAGTTTATCTTTCAGTATGACCTGTTGTAACCTTCCTTTTAATCAGATCCTTACCTACCTTTCAATTCTTGTATTAATCCCATCTTTTCTAATTTAATAAAAATATTTCCCACATGGAACTGTACCAAATGCTTTACTGAAAACTAGGTAGATTAGATCTACTGCATTTCCTTTTTTAGAACATTGGTGATCTTCTCAAAGGAAGAGATCAGGTTGGTATGGCAAAATCTACCTTTTGTAAAACCATTGTGTTTTATGTCAATTACCATTTTCCTCTGTCTTTAATTACTCTGTCTTTCAAGATTTGTTCTAAGATTTTGCATACAGTTGAGGTCAAACTAATAGGTCTGTAGTTTTCCTGACCACTTTTCCTTTCTTGAATATAGATACTATATTTTGTAATTCTTCAGTCATAGGGTATCACCCCAGAGTTTATAGGATTCATTAAAAATCCTTGCTACTAGGCTTGCAATTTCATATGCCAGTTCCTTTAATATTCTTGGATGGACATTATTTGGGCCCCCTGAATTGGTCCCATTATGCTGTTTGAGTTTGGCTTCCACCTTGGACATGGTAATTTCTACTTCCATATTCTTGTTCCCCTAAGCCACCATGCCATTGCCCCTAAGCCATACTTAATTATCTTTCATCTTCACCTGTCCTCAGTGCTCAGTCACACATCTTCTTTCCTTGTTTTCTTTTTATTTATGTAGTTAAAGAGCCTTTTACTATTGGTTTTCATTTCCTTTGCAAAGTCCAGCTCTGCTTGGCTTTTGGCAATTCTCACTTTTCGCCTATACTTCCTTACTTTCAAGAGGTAGCTTTCCTTGCTGATCCTTCCCTTCTTTCATTCCTTGTAGGCTTTCTATTTCTCTTAACCTGTCTGAGATACTTGTTCATCCTGTTTGGTCCACAACCCTCCCCTATGAGTCTTTTCCCCTTGCTTAGGGAATCTTTCATGCCACCATGATATACTGGATAAATAATACCTGTTTTTAGAGTTTGTTATGTAAGGAAAATACATTTGCCAATATATTACAATCTATGAAAAATACATTATGTAGCAAGGTATGTATAAAAAATATCAAGCCCAGTCCTGCATTCTAAAAGTCAGGAAATACAGAAGTCGGCCCACAAATTATACCAATATAAAAAACCAGGTGGGAAACACAAACTTGCATTTGCACAAGAACAAATAGAATTTTGTTTTTAAATATCAGTTTCATTTCATGTTTATTTTTTTAACTGCAAGAAAACATGAAAACAGAATTTATTCAAATAAAGCTAAGGCTTTACAAGGCTCCTACCAGATAACCCATAGGTTGGGGCAGGCTCTCCTCAGTCTAACTCCCAGGACACAGCTTTCTGAGCCCTAACACCTTCTGCCCAGTGAGGGGTACAGAATAAAGCTAAGCTAAATTAATTCACTATAGACAGCTAGATGCAGAAGGGCGGGGACCTCAGCCCGCGAAGGCCACAAGGTTTCACTCTATCCCATGAGCCCAAGGCCCATCTCCAAAATCCCAGGTCTTGGAGCTCTGGGAACTGTTCATTTTATCCTCTTAAGAGCACTGGAAACTGACCACAAGTTGCAATGAATTAAGAACTCAACCCCCAGTACCTTGTTTAGGTACTAAGCACATTCCTACTTAATCCACTGTGGCTTGAAGGTGAAAAGTTCTCTCGTCCACTGCCAATTGATCCATGGGAGAAAAAGATCCTTCCTGACCCCCAAACCAACAATTGGCTTGATCCATAGCATCTGTCAGGCCAGATTCCCATTCCTAGTTCAGGGTGGGTAGCATGGGGCTGCTGGAATGGAGCTGAAAGGGGCTCCCTATGGGCCCCGTTCTAGGTTAAATCCCAGAAGCTGAGGTATGCTGGCCAATTAGCACCCTCTCTCCTAGCTGGCCAGAGTACCAGAGACTCCTATGGGTAGGAGTCTCCCTCTCTTGCTGCTAGGACTGTTTCCTTTCACCACAAGCCCCATTAAATTTCGCCCACCCATTGAGACAGGTTGAGTATTTTTGTGTTTAATGAAAGCCTAATTGAATTTCGCTCCTCTGACTGGATTGAAATCCCAGGCAAAGAACCTGATCCAAAGACCACTGAAGTCAATGGCAGTCTTTCCACAGACTTTGGTGGGATCTGGATCAAACCCATGAATAACTGTTTTCAACAGGATTACTTACACCTGGTTGCAGGATCTGGTCCATTATTAATACTTTAAGATAAACTCTCAGAAGACATTACAAGTAATGAAAATGTATACATAGTTTTATATCATTAATTGGTTCATCTAGCTGTCTATAGTGAATTAGTTTAGCTTAGGTTTACTATAAAACTATGTAGACTTACTTGCTTGTAATACCATCTGTAATCTTGTAATACCATCTGAGTTGTTTAAAAAAACATGTTACCTGAATTCTTTATTTTATTCCCTTATTTCTAAGGGAGATTGAAATTAACATGCCCACCCCACCCCACCACTCTTTTTTTTTTTTTTTTTTTTTTTTGAAAATTTGCTACTTTATTTGTACTCCAGCTTGATCCAATGTCAGTGCAGCTATGAAAACACCTTGATTGTTAATTGGTACTTGGTACTGAAGAACCAGTAGAGGGAGCACAAAACATTGTTTTTATATTTATATCTTACATAAACTCTCCCTACTTTTTAAAAAATTATTTTCTCATGAACAGGATAATGCTCCAAATCTCATCAATATTAAAACTGTCAAAGTCTTTAGAGGAATATTTTCCCATACTTGATTGTGTCCCTATAAAATTGAGCTTTTTACAGTATTTCCAGTTTCAGATATACATTATTTCCCTAACATTTATGAAACTAATGTCATCAACCTGTCATAAAAAATCTGATAATTAAAGTCTAATAATTGTGGACAATTACTAAAGATGTACAGTATCTATAGTGTGAATTATGTTACATTTTATCATTTTAAAATGTAGAATGAATATACTGCAAAAAAGTATAGAACAATTTAAAATATAATTAGAAATGTGTGCGCATGCATGCTTTATGCAGTGCTTTGTGTAATGTACACACTATAAAATACAATTAATTAAAACTCAGTCAAAGGAAAGTAAGCAAATGCAAAACCATCTTTAAAATATTCATAAACAAAATAAATTGCTATCTACATTCACACAACTAGACATTTTTAAGGTTTCTATGCATCCATTATGCTGTATTAATCTAGAAATTTTTAATTACTAGACAAACCCATGTTGTGTATTAAAGCTTTTATTCCTTAGTAAGACTTTTTTAAAATCACAAAATAGTGTGTAAATATTTAGATAATAGAATTTGTGGAGTGCTGGAAAATACTGAATTATAAAGATTGATTTCTAATATATCACATACTAAACTGTTCTAAAACAGCTGTTTTCTTGCAGACAGTATTTATTTTTTAAATAATTTAAGACAGCATAAGCTTGAACCAAGCATAAGCATTGTAACAAAAGTGCAACTTTTTTCAGCAAATCCTCCCCAAAAGATATTTAACTCAAAATATCATAAACACATTTTCTCCCTACAAAAATAGCATGTCAGACATCATTAATTGGATGTATTAACAACTATTTACATACAGCCATTCTGCAGGCTAGTAAGATTTTTTTGTAACGTTGTTTAAACACAGCGTTTGAGGCAAACAGTAGCAACAGCAGCAGCAAATGCAATCAAACTGACTAACAGACCCAGGATACTTATTCACTCCATCAGACAGTTGTGTCTCACCTCTTACATAACATTCAAGTGAGATTTCTCACAGTGCTACCTTGGCAACAAACTAAAAATATCTAGGCAAGGTCTTGTTTTAAGCCTTATTAATAAAGCTTTATCTGTGTGATTATCTGGCATCTGTACAGTCTCCAGAAAGGGAAATCACGATATTTGGAGACAGAAGGACTGCATGGGACCTTATCCCATATCTTCTAAGCATTTCCAATTAAAAACTGAGATGTTTAATAATTTCCTCCAGTTTTTAATTTGGGATAAAATTAGTTCAGGGTTGTCAGTTATTTATTTTGTTTTTGTAGTTCAGTGCAGAAATGTTTGTTTTATAAAGCAAGGTTATAAAAACTCAGGAAAATACTGAAATTAAATAAGGACAAATGCACTTGCCATACCTCTATACCTTAGCTAAGAAGAAATCATAGCATGGGCCTGATCCTCTATTCCTTGCACATCCAAAACTCTGACTGAAGCCATTAGCAACTCTGGGTACTCAAAGCACTGAAGGACTGGGCTCAACAGTCAATTCATTCATGGTCCATTTCTCAATAAAGTGCAAATGTATGTACCTAAAACTCACCTTCTCTTTCTGTCCCCTCTCCCCCATTCTGACAATGAACCAATCCAAGTCTCTTTAAACAAGTGCAAATTACTAAGTGGAACATATACTACAGAAAAACATTTCAAAATAAGGTGCGACGTTTACTTGAGAGAAAAGCGTATCCTTACTATTTTTTCTTTTTTGTTTTTAAACATATTTATGCATTTATAAAGCCAAACATTAAAAAAATACTGAGTAGCAAATTTAATCCTTAAAGATTCTCAAGCATCTCCACCCTACTTGGAGTCAGATACTGTATGATCTTCATTTGCTTCTATATATTATTATTAATACACATCTCTAGAGAGGCCATAACCATAGTCTGTGGCTCCCAGGGCAACTTTTTTTGCCTACCCACTTTCAGACGTCACTGACACTTTGGGTCAGAAACTGAATCTGACCCTCTGGCTTACAAAACGTTGATTTGAAGCCTATTTCTATTTGCTCCCTTTCGGTAAATGTGGAGACAATTTGTGATTCTCTGTGAAACACAGAAATGCAAAGGATCTTTTTTTACAGCAGCAGAGTTGGGTGGGGGTGAGGGAAGAAACGCAGCAGGAGAGAACACCAAAGAAATGAAACAACCACAACAGAAACATCGTGCAGACCTATTACACTTTCCCCTTAAAAACCACGACGTGGGTGGGTGGGCTGTTTCTGATTGTTGCTGTTCTTATTCATTAGGGTGGGATCCTTCTTCCTCCCTACTCGGGAGCATGGGTGGGCTGACTTCTATGTCCTGTAGCCCAGTTCAGGGGCTTTCCTTTCCGGGCTGCAGAAGATCTTCCGGGGAGGGAAGGTCACTGTCCAGGCTGGGCCCGGTCTCGCAGGCGGCAGCGAAGAGATGGGGCAGGTGCTGCCCAGGGGAGACCAGGTCAAGGGGCAGAAGGGCCGAGGCGGCGGCGGCGGCTGCGTTCGCTTTATCAGCCGGCGCCAGCCCCGAGGACAGGCAGGGGAAGGCGGCGGCGGCCTGGGCCGGGATTCCGGAGTAGAGCAAAGGGATGGGGGCGGCGGCCTGGTACAGATATTTCTCCAGGTTGCTCTTGTCCAGCAGGGGCTGCATGTAGGCCGCGGCCGCGGAGGGGGAGATGAAGTAGAAGGGCAGGCAAAGGGGGGCGGCGGCGGCGGCTGGCTGGCCAAAAGCAGCCGCGCCCCCGCCAAAGGCCATGAGGGAGCTGAGCAGGGCGGCGTCGGGTCTCAGCAGGGCGGCCGCTGCCTGGTGATCCGGGCTCAGCCCGGCGGCGGCGGCGGCAGCAGGGAGGGTGGCGCTGCTGCTGCAATCCAGCCTCAGCCTTTTGGGCGCTGGGGCCTCGTCCGCGGCCGGCTCCTGTTTGATCGTCAGGCCGGGCAGCCCCGCCGCCTGGCCTTTCTCTCGATCCGGCCGGCCCTCGCTCTCCCCCCCATAGCCGCTATCCGTGTCGGTGTCGTTCTCCCCGCCGAGCTCCACGGGCGGGTGAGTCCGCTGGATGACCGGGACGCAGTTAGTCTGAGCCTCCAGCTTTTGCCCGGTGCGATCTTGTGCACAGGAGGAGGAGGAGGAGGAGGATCCTTTGCTCACGGGGACCTGTGGAGTCAACAGCTGGGGGCTGGGTAAGAACTGAGTGGAAACCGCGTGCAGATGGTTTACGAGCTGGGCACATCTCTGCTCTCTGGGAGTCCAGCTCTCAAACCTGGAGAGGTATTGCAAGACTTCTTTGGCGCACGTTTGAAATCCCGAATGGAAAGCATCCAGATCGCACTGAATGGGGGACTTCATAGACCGCTCCCCTGTGATGGAGAATATGGGAGGGGGAATGCAAAGAAAAGTCAGCATAAAACCAGCTGCTCTCACAGGCATGGGGAGTCCCTGCTATTGGGCTTGTCCTTTTTAGTCAAACCAAAGGTAACTTCAGTGATTTCTTAGGGAAGCCTTTCAATCCAGGCTACTTTTCCTCATGGGGCACAAATGCCTATATTTGCTGGGAGTTAACATGGCAATTTGGCTGGTGACATCTCAGTGGACGTCAGCGTTTTGGCCAGATAATACACTAAGCATTTTATTATATTCCTTTCAAAGCACATGAAAAAAAAATCAAAGGCCTGCCCCTATGAATTATAGTACATTAGGAGAGCTCTAATTTAACAACCCTATCTCCTGAGTATATTTATGTGCTGGCATCTTCTGAAACTGACTTACCATTCTGTAAAGCAATTATATTCTGATGCTGTTGCTCCGTTAAGGCTGTTAAAGCTTTCAAGTGTTTCAAAGTTAATTCCAAAACTACAGCTTTCTCCAGATGCCCCAATGTCTGAAAAGTAGGGGGGAAAGGGGATACTTGGTTACTAACGCAATACAATTGCCCATTATATTCTGTGTCCATAACTTCAGGAACCTCCCTTTGAAAGGAGTTTTATATTGAAAGCTTCTGGTTTTACATAAGCATGTTAGAAATGATTGCTGCTTTAAACTGAACCGCATATACATACACCTCTGTAGAAAACCTTTACCATCCAACACAAGTCATACTTTTTCAGCTCTACAGTTCCTGTCCTTAAATTTTTAAGATAATCACAAAGAACATATTGTATAATGCTTCAGACAATGAAATATATATATACCTTACCGTCAATTTCAGATGCTCAGGCAATAAATCTTTTAGCTGAGCAATGCATTCATTAATCCTGTCTCGCCTCTTCTTTTCTATCAATCTATGTGGCAGTTTGTATGTTTCCTAATTAGTAAAATCAGGAAAAGCCAAATATTACATTCACTTAATATGACAATCAAAACAAAAACAATTGTCCACATGTAGTGCAAATTGCAAGGCATGTATAGCCTTCCCTTATATGCTTGTTATCCGGTAGTTATCAGGGGAAGTTAAAAGGAAAGAAACGCGGATGCGGTTATGGGTAAAGCTATGCTATAAAAATCAGTGAACCCCAATTAAGTATTTAGGCAGGTCATGAAGAGCTTCAGAAACTTATTCTTACCTTACTCTCATCTCTTTTCATGCCTCTTTTGGGTTTGCACAAATACAGGGATGGATAGTCCAGTCTGCAAAAATGAAAGAGAGATCCAATGGTAGTATGTCAGTGAGCTACCTATCACTTTCATAAGTGGGAATATATACATACAGAAAGAGAAAAAACATAAGATATGCATATAATATTGTACAGCTCCAAAGATAGTCCCCGACTGCAAAAAAGGAAGCAAGAATCAGACACCATTTAAGAATGACCTATCTTTTCAATGCTTTCTATCAGTTTCTTAAGAAGAAACAAAACACTAGTGATAAGAGACAGAGAGATATATTGCACTGGCTCCTTACCCTATAAAATCCACATGTTCTAGCAACTGCCTGTCTTGCAAACGAGGGATTCCTTCATCCATGTTTGACAACAGCTGATTTTTTGTTGTTGCTTTTGATTGAATCTGTGGGATGCTGAGAGTCTTTGGAGATCTTTGAGCAAAACTGTGCACATGCAGCCTCTGTCTCTCTTGTGCACTAGGGAAAGTGTGAAGCAGTTTGTCTCCCTCCCCTCTCTCTCTCTCTCTTTCTCTCCCACTCATACACTCACAGTCACACACTGTGCTGGTAGTTTGCACTCACTGATCAGTGTTTGGCCACAGGGCACGCGCGTCGCCAGCCAGACCAGCACCCAGCTCACGTGCGGAACGTACCACACAAGCTCCAGACTAGGGGTTTGGGTGGGAGGGAAAGGAGGCGGGGACAGTTGATCCAGGCGACCGGAAAAGAAAAACAACTTTGTCCAGCTATTCATCTTCCAAATGGCAATGCAGTCCGCTGAGGTTTCCTCCTGTAAGGAAGTAAACGCAGCACTCCTGATCATGGTGCATTTAGTGCCTGGGGGTTGGTTGCTCTTCAGTCGAGCCAGTTTATGGACGGAGGGGTGGGAGAGATTTCACATATAGCATAAAGGATGCTGGATTTAAAACCGGAGGCAACGTGGTAGTCCTGTGCAAAAAGCAAAACGCGTTGGGAGGAAAAATCGTAGTGGGGGAGACCTTAGTCTGACAACATGCAATTTGCAAATCAGCTGTCTGGAAAGTGATTAAAATGGTGCGTTCAAAAATGTCGTTTTACTCCTGAGCTACACTGAGATCTGCCAAGTCCCATTTAGGGAATTTAAAGTTTCTCTGGTGCAGAGAGATTATGTTGCCTGTTTATTTCAATGAGTCATTTATAATCCGGAGGGTTTTTGTTTAATCTGTCTCGTGCAGGTGATCCTAAACGGCCTGTAACTCTTAATATTGCCCTTTAGAAAGAACCCTATTTGAGGCTGCCGATTACAGCGAATTGATGTCTGTAGGTGCAAATCAGGAGCGTGCTCTAGTGTTGTTATGACTATCACGCACTGCATCGCTGTCGTAAAGGAGTTGACAGGAGAGAGGGTGACATTGGGAGAGGAGTTACGCTGAAGAGAAATGTAATATTAATCGCTCCCCTGTGAACGTCCATTGCTCTGTGCGTCTGGTGGTACGTGCCTCTCCTGTCCTCCTCCCCTCTCCCAACGCACACACGCTTTCTCTTAGTCTGATAATGAACCCTGGATGTGTGCGCACAGCCCACGTTTGCTACCACTGGCACCTAAAAACCCTCCTCCGCAATCCTGCCTCAAACGGGTACGCGCACAGGGCTAGCAACGTGATCCGACCTGCCGCTGCCACATCACGGCGGTGAGAGCCCTCGCTCTGGAGCTGCTGCTGCAGCCGCTGCCTAGGGAGAAATGCACACGCAGCTGCGGAAGCAGGAGTATTTACCTGCTCCCCAGAGCGAGCCCAATGGAAATGACTCAGTGCGAGTCAAAGTATAGGTGGGAGGAATCTGCGATGCGAGGGACTCCTGCTGCTTGTGGGAACAGCAACCAACCACGGCTGCTAAAACAGCATTATATACTGTCTCCCCACTGATTCCCTGCGGAAATTAGATTGCAAATGAAAATGACCGTAAAGCAGGGGTTGTATTAAATAGACATACATGGGGATGGAGAATAAGAAAGATCTGGGCTCTGGTGGGGTGTTAAGAGCTCCTGCTGGAAGTTAGCAAACGCAGGGGCAGGTTTATTTATTTTCTCCCAGTGGAGCCCAATGGACATCACACACTGTAAATGGCAGTAAATGAGGAGATCTACATATGGATGTCAGTGTTGCCAGCCCTCACAATTTTCTGGGGAGTCTCTGGATAGTTGGGGTTTTTCTTAAAGCCCCAGCTCCCGGAGGCATGTGATTACAATGAGAATCTCACCTTTATTTTAAAAATGACTAAACGTCTAGCTCTCATAATTGCAAGGAAACGCTGGAAAATGTAAACACTAACAGCTCAAGAAGGAGACAGCAAATTAAAAAACTCTATAGTCGTTATATTTTTTAAAATCTCCTGATTTTTAAAGGCATTCTTGTGATTTTGGGAAACTGATTCACGATTTTGGTATGTTTGGCACTGTTACATATACAGTACATGAAGTGTGAATGAGGCTTTAGGAGTGGAAAGGGCTGTAGTGGGGTGTTAGGAGCTCCCAGAGGTGGTGCTAGCCCATTGGGGGCCCTAAGCAGGAATATTTTGGGGGACCTCCCCCACGCACAACACACACATGACCCATTATTGGTATGCTTAGGGCCTTAAGCAATTGCTTAGTCTGCTTATGCCTAGCACTGGCTCTGGGAACTCCTGCTACTAGTGAGAAAAGTAAACGCTGCTGCAGGGGCAGGATTGTTTAATTTCTTCCCAGTGATCCTGATGGAAATTACGTATCGTCAGTGAAAGTCAATCAGGAGATACACCACGCGTAAGGCCCTACCAAATACATGGCCATGAAAAACGCATCACAGACGGTGAAATCTGATGTCCCCCCATGAAATCTGGACTTTTGTGTGTTTTTACCCTATACTATACAGATTTCACAGGGGAGGTCCTGACCCAAAAGGGAGTTGCAGGGGTCACAAGGTTATTTTAGGGCCCCCGGGGTGGGGGGTGTCGCGGTATTGCCACCCTTACTTCTGCGCTGCCTTCAGAGCCGGGTGGCCAGAGAGCGGCGGCTGTTGGCTGAGTGTCCAGCTCTGAAGGCAGCACCCGACCAGCAGCAGCACAGAAGTAAGGGTGTCAATACCATACCATGCCACCTTACTTCTGCTCTGCTGCCTTCAGAGCTGGGCAGCCAGAGTGGCGGCTGCTGACTGAGGGCCCAGCTCTGCAGGCAGCAGCGCAGAAGTAAGGGTGGCAATACCAGACCAGGCCATCCTTACTGCTGCGCTGCCACTGGCAGCGACTCTGCCTTCAGCGCGGCCACCGCTCTCCAGCTGCCCAGTGCTGAAGGCAGAGCCACCACCAGCAGCAACGCAGAAGTAAGGGAAGCAGTACCACAACCCCGCCCCCCCCATAACCTTATGGCCCCCCCCACAGCTCCTTTTTGGGTCAGGACCCCTACAATTACAACACCCTGAAATTTCAGATTTAAATAGCTGAAATCACGAAATTTACTATTTTAAAAATCCTATGACCATGAAATTGATCAAAATGGACCATGAATTTGGTAGGGCCCTAACCATGTGTGTATACATTGAACTGTGCTTTGGTGTAGCAAAAGGAGTTATGAAGCTCTAATGCAGTGGTTCTCAACCTGTGGCTTGTGGGCCGCTTGCAACCCAATCAGCATATAGCTGCAGCCCATGTGACATCCTCAGGGCCATACAGGTAGTATATATACTGTCAGGTTTCAGAGGATCAGCCGTGTTAGTCTGTATTCGCAAAAAGAAAAGGAGTACTTGTGGCATCTTAGAGACTAACCAATTTATTTGAGCATGAGCTTTCGTGAGCCACAGCTCACTTCATCAGATGTGTACCGTGGAAACTGCAGCAGACTTTATATACACACAGAGAATATGAAACAATACCTGTTTCATATTGTTTCAATTCTCTGTGTGTATATAAAGTCTGCTGCAGTTTCCACGGTACACATCTGATGAAGTGAGCTGTGGCTCACGAAAGCTCATGCTCAAATAAATTGGTTAGTCTCTAAGGTGCCACAAGTACTCCTTTTCTTTTTATATATACTGTGTGGATGCAGCCCACATAACACATAGAGAGTTGCATATGTGGCCCACAATGGTAGATAGGTTGAGAACCACTGCATGTTGACAGCACTTGCTGCTAGGGAGAAAAGAAAATTATTGGGTAGGCTAGATTGTACACCTTCTTCCCAGAGTGAGTTCAGTGTAAATTACACATTGCAAGTGAAAATTGCCTGGCGATTGGCATGTGACAATGGTACATGCTTACATAGTTGTTTCCTTCTAGTACTGAACAAGGAACTTCATTAGAATAAGGAAACAATATATTCCGTCAAACTCTCCTGTGATCTCTCTGCTTCATTTTAGAGCTTCTGCCTAGAATCAGTCCCGGACCCTTCTGCCTGGCTTCCTACTACAGTTTTAAAGAACTAGTACACTAATCATCACTGATAATAGGGAGATGGGCCCATTAGAAATTCAACAGATAAGAGATAAGATAAAGAGAGATGTGTCTGCCTCTGTCATCTATTACCATCTACATATACATGTGCATGAAGGCGAAAGAGCTTTGGTGTGATGTTAGAAACTCTTGCAGCCTATCAAGAAATGGATGCTACTAGAGAGGTAGATTTAACTGGGATCTCCCCAGGGTGATATCCACTGAACCAGGACCTTGTACCCACAGGCCCCAACGCATATTTGTGGCAGTGAGTAGCCCAGCACAGGAGCTGATGAAAAAATAAAGGTGCATCCTGGGGTAGTTAGGAGTCACTAGGGCCCCAAGCGAAAATTAAGGCAGCCCTGAGAGCTGCCCTAATTTGCACGGTTAATCCATGGCCCCTGTGGACCTTGTGGGAACTCAGACCTGGCCACACTCCCTCCTACACCCAGAATGCCCTCTGGCCCCTCCTGACATCCTGGAGAGTCCAGGACAATCCTGGATGGGTGGCCACCCTAGATCAAGGGCTGTATGTTATGACGTGCTCTCCCTAAAACAGACAAGGTATGAGTTATTGAACATGGCAGGAAGGGCTTGACAAAAACAATGGACTCTTCTCTAATATAAGACTTGATTGAAATAGAATCACAGTAAGGTAAAGATTCTTCCTTGGACTCTCAGCTGGGCTCCCTGTGGAGTTAGGATCTCTGCAGTGCTAGTGGAAACTAGGTGGGGCAGGCAGTGAGTGGTGCAGAGAGGGATACACTACCCCAATTCACCAGCCCCATAGAGATGAATTGTAAAAGACAATATAGCTTGGTCTCTCTTACTTTTTCTGGCTCTATATCATCTTTTTTGCACTCTCTTCCTGCATGGGGGAAACAATTTAAAGGTGTTTTAAAGGGCAGACATAGCCAGGAGAAGCCTTGGTTGTTTGGCTCTTCTTCAACATCCTGACCAAGTAGAAAAGGGTGAAAGAGCCAGGCATCTAGAGCCTCTGTGGTGTGGCACAGTTTCTCTGCCTGGGGGAACTTGCCTCTTGTGGATCCCAAGGGATCTGTGGGGTTTGGGGGCAGAACTGAAGCCTATTCCATGGGGTGAAACCTCCCCCAAGGGATCATCCTAGAGCCTTCCTTCCTTTAGCCCCATCTCCTGGGCTTTTCCACCAGAGGGGGTGATCCAGACCATTATTAGGAGTTAAATATAGCAATGTCTTAGCATATGTCTACATTTCAAGCTGGAAGTGTAAATTCCAGCTCAAGGAGAGGAACCCATGCTAGCTTGATCAGAGCCGTGTGCTAAAAATAGATGTGTAGCCATGGCTGGGCTAGCAGCAGGTGGGGCTAGCCACTCAATAGGATCGTACTCGTATGGCTAACCTCTCCTGCCACACATGCCGAGTGGCTACACTTCTATTTTTGGTGCACTAGTTCAAACAGAGCTAGCTCAAGTATGTCTCTACACCTCCAGCTTGAAGTGTACATATACCCTGAATGCGACAACTTCTGTGCTGTCAGTTCAAGATCTCATGAGAGTCTTGCACCAATGACATGATCCCATCCAGATTCCAATCTGTATCTCTATGGCTGTGGTGTTCATTCTTGCTGATGAGTGTAGATTTCCTGAGTGGAGAGAGGAGGACAACTAGATGTGATGTTGTCTTTGGCATCCTACTGCTCACGCCATTGATCAACAGCAAACATACTGGCTAGGCAATAGGCAAGTAAAAGCCAATGGAAGTTCCCAGCCTATTGCTTCCTGCAAGTGCCACCCATCACAACATGGTGCCTTAAGGACCTATAATCAACACTGTGATTATAAGGGGGAAATTGGCCATAAAGAGTAAATTGAACAAAATAAAATCAGACTACAGCTATCGACTTACTTTGGGTTTTATGAGTTTAACTGATCCATTTTAGTTTAAAT